TCTTTAAAATCAAAGAACCATTCTCTATTGGGGGTCATATGGTGTATACAAGCTGAATCTAACAGCCATGAACTGGAACAACTGGTTGATTGCGTAGCAGCAAATGCGAAATCTGAATCTTCATCATCATACTTGACCACATTTGATTTTGAGATAGCCTTTCCCCTTTCAGGCTTGCCTTTGTTCTTTAGCCTGGGACATTCTTTCTTCCAGTGCCCTTTCTCTCGACAAAAGTCACATTCATCTTTGCTCAATCTGAACTTTGACTTCGATCTCCCTCTCCTTCCTTTATTCTGACTCTTCGAACGGCCTCTAACAACAAGAGCTTCTGCTTCGACACTTGTGTTTTCTTGTTTGTCTTTCTTTCTCAATTCATAACTATACAAGGCAGCAATTACTTCACTGAGAGACACATCAACTTTCCCATGAAGTAGAGTAGTTTCAAGATACTCAAACTCATCAGGAAGTGATCCCATCAACATTAGAGCCAGATCTTCGTCTTCAAAAGTCACGTCCATATTCATCATATCAGTCACCAGCTGATTAAAGCTAGTAATGTGATCATTCATAGTGACCTAGTACATAGTTGAAGTGAAACAATCTCTTTTTCATATAGAGCTTGTTCTGACCGCTTTTCTTCAAAAATTTCTCCTCCAGTGCCTTCCACAATTTACTTGCAGAAGTTTTTTTTAGAAAATGCATACTTCCGCTATCTAGAAAGACACGATCAAATAGTACCACATGCCAATCTATTGATTCTCTTCCATTCTTTCTCCTCAACATCATTTGGTTTCTCTCCTTCAATAACAATGTCTAGACCCTGCTGAAATAGGGCATCTAGAACCTCACTTTGCCACATGCTGAAATGACTGGTGCCATCAAAAAATCTCCACTGCAAATCTAACATTTGTCACAGCTGTTGACGACGATGTGGATGTTTTTGTTGCGTCTGCCATTTCTACTACAAATTCTATTTAATAGCTGTCAATGCGGAATGCCAATTATCCCAAGGAATTTTTTTTCTGATGTGGAAGATCAGCCTAAGCCGCAACCACAGAGCATACTAAAATAAACCAAGAGCGCTGATATCAATTGTTGTGGAATTCGGGTTAATTTCCACCAATAATAACAAATTCACCTTGAAAACTATTATCTAGGTGACTAGTGTGAAAACGATTGTACTAAAAATCACCCCAAGGTAGATTCCCAGGAAAGAGGATGGGTCACAATGGTCCCTCTTAAAATCCACTTTCCTTAGACAGAACTACCAAGACAAGTAATTTTAATAGGACAATAATTAACAACTATACCCGACAATAGCTATTAAATAGACATAAAGAGAACACCAAAATTTAACGAGGTTAGGCCAAAATTATGCCTACCTCCTCGAACACTACTAAAATAATATTTCACTAATAGAGGAAATATTACAAAGAGAGAAAGAGTACAAATAACCTTTAATAATGAAGAAGGCTTATATTTGTGGGATGCTAAACTAAGGAGTAGGAGGGCTCTATTTATAACAAAAGAATTTCCCCTCCTCCTTATACAAAACCAATGTGGGATATTTGCCAAAAACCAACAACACATTCAATATTTGAATAAATAAATTTAAATAAAATGCAAAACATTCGATAAAATTTTATTTCAAATTGTTGTTGATTAGTTCTGGATACTAACAAATAGAACTCTAAATCTTTATGATAGCAAGCAAAACCAAAATTCTTTAAATTAAACTTATTAAAAATAATAAAATTCAAAAATTAATCAATATATTAATAATTATAGTAAAACACTTACCATTGTATAGATTCCCTAAGCCATGAACAGTTGATTATTGAGTCATCGTAGTCCAAAACTTGCCGTCAACTTCGGTTCTAAAATAGTTCTTTTGTATTTGTGTCAAATAATTTTTCTTTCTATTATGATTTTTGGGATTAGAAAGTACACGAGAGCATTAGAGTTTTTTCAAGTGAGATTGGGGTTTTCAAAACTTTCATAAGATCGTACTTTGATTTTTTCCCATAAATATTTATAGGTTTTAAAGTTAATTATTATTCTATAAACATAATTATTATTTTATTTTCTATATTAATTATAATTTATGTCTATGTAATACATATAATGCTTACATGGAATTTAACGACTTTTTAACGGTTTTGTTAAAAAAAAGGATGTAATTGACATATATCGATAGTTTGAGGATAAAATCGAAACACATAAAAGTTTAGGGATTAATTTATGATGAGAATCATAGTTTAGGGATGATTGGTGCAATTAACTCATGTTATATATATAATTATTCTATTTATTATATAAACCACAATCCCACATCATCATCCACTAAGTTACACCACCGAAAGTGGCATACTTTCGAAATTGGTTTCAAATTCAAGGAGGGATTTGAAAATTGAGGTTAGATTAGCAAAGCCCAAAGCTTTTTTTTTTTTTTTTTTTGGATAAATCATCAATTTTCATTACCCAAGTAACCAGTCTGTTACAAGAACAGAACCTGCTACAAACAGCAGTGTTCTGTTATAGAAGCATTCTACTTACAAGAAGAATTAAGAACAAGAAATATCCCAGTGCTTACAAAGGGAAAAATTAGCAATATCATTTCGATTTGTTTTCTTATCCCTCAGTTGAAAGCGAACGACGTCCTTAATAGCAAGGAATAGCTCTTGAACTTTTCTGGAGCAGCCTTTGAAGATCCTCTTATTTCTTTCTTCCCAGAGAAAGTAGATAAGGGCGTTAAGAGCAAGTTTCATAATCGAAGTTAGCAGTGATTTTCCTTTCCAAGTAACTTGCCCACACAAAGAATTCATCCCAAGAGCTGATAGTAAATTGCAAACCAGAGTGGAAGAAAACTGAATTCCATAATTGTTCTGTCATAGGACATTGGAGGAACAAGTGCTCCCTTGTTTCCAATTGAGCATTGCAGAACACACAATGGCAGTCATTGATAAGCCCAAAGCTTGTACGTAGAATAAGTAGCGGAAATTCCTTGAAATCAAACTTAGATTGATTCGAATACATTAAACTAGTGTAAGACAAATTTGCTCTTTCATAATTTGTCCATTAATTATTTATAAAATAATTAATTTATAATTATCTTAATATTATATCAGGTATAATTAATACATGAGTTCAACCAACAATTAGTTGGTCTAGTAGTAGAAGGAATCATTAATTTTTTTTTGTTATCCTTTTGGTTTAAAGGTTTCGTCTTAATTAAACCGAATCGACTCGTGTCACACACTTGGTTTTGATGGGTAAGTCTCCCAACGGAGATTTTCTACATACATAATAACTCAAACCTGAGACATTGCTTAAGCGGTATCAAGTTATTTACCACTTGAATCAATCTCGTTGATCATTAATTTTTTTTAAATAAGGCCAGGGATTCAACTATTAATGTTTATGAATGAAACAAACAAAATTAAAGTGATTACCTTCGTAATAAATCTTTACAAAATTCGATCTAAAATAATTAATTTATAGATAAATCTCATATGATTAAACCAAAAAAAATGTGATAGCCCTTTGGCATGGTTAATAGGGGTACGAGCAGTAATTCTGTGATTCTGTGGAACTGCGGTGCCTAATTCTAATTGCAATCTTTGGAAAGAAAAAGGTTGAAGAACTTGTCTCATTATAGGATAATTGGCCAACGCTCTGTTTTATAAAATTTTATAAGACGAAAATAAATTATAATAAAAAGTATTTTAAATATAAAGTAATTTTAAAATTTTAAAATATAATTTTTTTCTCTATCAATTCCTATTTATATTTTTCTAGTAAATTATAAATATATATAATCATAATTATGAAAACTATGATTATTATGTTATTTATAAACTAATATTTTAAACCAAATTTTATCAATTCCTATTTATATTTAATCCAAATTATTAATAAATTAATTTTTAAATTTTATATTTGGTCAAATTTACATTGAAGGCGTTATGATAACAACAGCTCTTATTAAAAAAGAAATAAATAAATATAGATGTTACATAATTTGATTAGTTAATGTGCACTGCTTTTTGCAAGTTGGGACAACATTGGATTGAGTAGGCTTTCCTTTATGATGAACGGGATTTAGTAGTTTACTTGCTGCAATCATCCAATGTAGTGGTTTACCAATACGTGATTATCGGAAATTCTATAATTAAACTATTCTTCCTAACACAAATGCTTCCTTTTAATATACGTTTTAGCCCAAAAAACATTTACTTTTATATTATATTCCGAGAAGCAAGCAACAAATGAACCACAATAATAAATCAAATTATTAAAAGATCACCGACAATCGGAAATCAAAGTCAAACACATGAGAAAACTATATCTGAATACAAATCGCTATCTAAATTCATTCCGATGGTCTAAAGCAGGATATGTCAATAGGATAATAAATAAGTGTCATGATCAGTCGAGGTGACGTCAAATCCAACACTAAGAAAATTAAAGTAAGAGAACAACCAAATGATCCATAAATAAGAATAAAAATGTGTGATAAGGTAGAGGAAAACATGACATTAAGACAAAAAAATTTAGAAACTAAAAAACATAAAGTATAAGGAAAGATGCGATATAAAAAAGTAATAGTAAAATAATGAATACTGATGATCGATAATTAGTACCAAGATTGATACTTACATTAGTTAAACAAAAATAAAAAAAAATTCAAATTTAAATAACTTTATCAGTAAATTGTGCGTGAATTTATATCCATATTAAAAAATAAACCATGCCTCGTGAAATGAATGAATAAAGTTAATGGATGGTAGCATGGAGTAATCTCTGATGCCCAATTTACATGATTATTTACGTTTCAGACACCATCTTAAAAAAATAATGTGAACTACTTTATTATTAATCTTTCATAAAAAAAAAAGTCAACTTGACAATTCCATATCATTGCTTTATAATTTGAAATATCGATGATGCAAGTACATATGGCTGGTGAATGACCTTTATTGTTGTTTATTTAAGGGTCAACTTTCTAGCAAAGCATTTTAATTCTCCCCTCCTTCTGTAACTAGACCTCAAATTGAAACCATGGAACTGCTTTCAAGCTGGTGCTACAATGGATCCTTGCCGGAAAGTTACGTAATGCCACCGGAGTCAAGACCGGGGGATCTCATCGTTCCGTTGGGGAAATCCATCCCGGTGATTGATCTTCAGTGTCACGATCAAATCGAGACGGTCCGACAAATTCTGAAAGCTGGCGAAGAGTACGGATTTTTTCAGGTAATCAACCACGGAGTTTTGGAGGATTTAATGGATGAAACCATGGATGTTGCGGAGGAGTTCCATGCAATGTCCGGGTGGGACAAGGAAAAGGAATGCGCCAAGGACCCGAAGGGGAGTTGCAAGCTGTACACGAGCAGCTTCGCTTACCCGAGAGAGGAGTTTCACTTGTGGAGAGATGCGGTGACGCACCCTTGCCGTCCTTTAGATGAACACATTCAATTTTGGCCTGAAAAGCCATCTAGATACAGGTAGACCATCACGTCATTCACAATCAAAATTTATATATGACATATCTGAAAACTTTCCAGCTTTTAATGTGTATGAAATATTCCTCTTGACTGTCCACTGTTCGACTCTTTCAAATATCAATCTTCTTTTTTGGTGTTCATTTATTTCAGAAAAGTTGTTGGGGCGTATTCGGTTGAGTTATGGAAGCTGAGTTGTAGAATCCTCGAGTTTATATGCCAAGGGTTAGGGCTTAGCTCCGATTACCTGAGCAACGAACTGAGTCAAGACCCCAAAATCATGATTAATCACTACCCTCCATGCCCTGAACCGAGTTTAACGCTGGGGTTATCTAAACACCGTGACCCTACGATCATCACCATTCTTCTTCAAGGCCAAGTACATGGCCTGCAAGTGTTCAAAGACGGCCGATGGATCTGCGTCGAACCGATTCCTCATGCGTTCGTGGTTAATATAGGCTACCTTTTACAGGTACCCCATCGAATCATTTGTCGTGAATTTTCATTTTTTTTTGTTTCGATTACTGAATGATGAATACCTTTTCTTCTTCTTCTTTTTTTTTTTAGATAATCAGCAATGGGAAACTGAAGGGAGCTGAGCATCGAGTGGTGACGAACTCGAGAGATCCGAGGACGACTATTTCTTTCTTCGTCTATCCGTGCGATGAGAGCCTGATAGGACCGGCGAAAGGTTTGGTTGATGCAAGGAATCCTGCAATTTATAAGGCCTTCAAATTTACCGACTTTGTTGCTGCTTTCATCCTCAAACCTGATAAGGAAGCTTTGAAGGAGCTTATAAGCGCGCCCCGTATTCTCGATTGATAGTTCACGGCTTAAAACTCTAGATTCCCATGGCTCCGGCTGCCTACTTGTTATTTTGTAACCCGCTGTCATATCATATATACACAAATAAATTGTCAATATCATATTGCAAACTACAGTATATTTAAGACTTGATATATAAACTATTATTACATAAACTATTAGTCTTGTTCTTATGTAAACTTTTAACTTTTTTTAAATTATACCTAAAGTTTAGTTTTTATTTAATTTAGTACTCCTGCTACAAATTTGATGTTAAATTTTGAATTTTTTTTTTAAGTTTATGTACTAAAATGGGTCAAAATTGATAGTTTAAGTACTAAACGCGTTAAGTTTTTAACGGTAGGATACTAAAATGAAATAAAAACTAAACGTTGGGTATGATTTTGATTTTTTTTAAAGTTTAAATACTAAAACGAGCTAAAATTGATAGTTTATGTACTAAATACGTAGTTTACCTATAACATATTACCTCCTAAGATGATATTCGTATCAGTTCTTTGCAAGTCAAGACCTTTGGAAATACTCTTCCACTTATCGGAACCTCCAAAAAAATCCATAATATTTGAGCCAACAACATGTTTACGTAATCTACTAAACCGAAATCCAATATCTAACTACTTAATCTATTTAACTAATTAACCTATAAGTAGCAATAATAATCTTACACGTATCACCATCAACTAAGATCAGTGTAAATAACCCTCAACCACAATTGAACACGGATCCTCTCAACTTCTTTCTCCTTAACTCTTATATCTCCTCCCATCCCTCTATTTCTCCTATAAATAGACACTGATCAATGATCGTATTTTCATCAATTACCGTTCTTTACCTAAATCAAAAGTATAAACGGTTAACGATGGACGAAATGAACTTGTTCTCATCAATAATATATATGTTATTCTTAAGTCGACTGGGTAAAGAATTTGATGAATCATGAAATAGGGTTTTCCCAATTCCAACTAATTATAAAACTAAAGTACAATGACAATTAAAAACAAATTAAAAGGTAATCCTAATTAGACAATTGGTGAATAGTAATTTGAGGAGAGTCATAAATCAAATAAAAAAATGAATCTATATGTTAATCAACTAACATCTTAATGCATTCAACATCGTTAATGTGATTGTTAAAAAAGTCAATTTCAGTTCTAACTAATGAAATGACATAAATAAGGGATGCATTACAGTTTAATGAATTCACACATGACACATCCTTATCTGTTTCTCAGTCAAGTTCATAAAACAATCACCTAACACTTTAATGCATTCGTACCAACGTTAATGTAATTGTCACAAAAGTCCATTTTTCAGTTCCACAAGGCATTTTGCCAAATGTCAATAACTTCATAATATGGACATCTCACTATATATCTTTTTCCTTTCTATGTGAGTATTTTATTATTTAAAAAATGGTTTGTTTGATTTTATTTAGATTATACTCTTTATTTTAAAAAAAAAATTACAGACGTCATCTTAATAACATATTTTTTAGTGAATGAAAAAAAAAATCACTCAACTCAAATACTATTTTAAAAATTAACAATAAAAGGTTATTTGTGATTTATTTTATAAATTTTGGAGTATGATGATTATTGAAACTATGACTTTTATTATTGCGAACAGTTTGATGTTGATAGCATTAAGTTGACCATGAAAGGTAGCATGCCATCTATGCTTTCTGTCACTTTCTTTGATTGAGATTGACTGCACTTCGTAATATCTAACCGAACCTCCGTCCACATAAATTTACGCATATATATTAATTAGATATAAACATATAAAATTTTATATTTAAAAAATAAATCTATAAAATTCTAAAAAAATATGTCTACTAAATAAAAGAAGTTGACATCTATGAATTTATTTATTAAGACCGCTATTAGAATCGCTTGCCGCGAAAACTAATCTAACCTTTGTTTCTAAAATTTTTATTAATAGCTTATTTTTGTTTCTAGAATTTTACCTCAATATAAAATCATATACGTTTGCCTCTGTGTACCTACGACTGTATTCACCTTGGCAATGTAGAGGTTGATGGAGGTAAGTGTAACGTGCGATAGCCTAATATATGATTAAGTAAATGTGTTATCGGTTTTGTTATTATTTTTTTATAAAATCGGTAAAAAATTACCGAAAATATTATTATTTCTACAAATTTTATTATTATTGGACGCTTTACTGGGTTTGGTAATATATTCGGTAGAAAAAAAATAATGTTTTAGGTAGTGTTTTACCGGATATATTACTAAGCTCGGTAAAACGCCCAATAATAATAAAATCGGTAGAAATAATAATGTTTTAGATAATTTTTTTTTACTAATTTTGTTAAAAAATAATAGTAAAATCGATAACGCATTTATTTAATCATATATTAAGACTGTCGAACGTTAGAAATTCACGATTGATGGAAGATTGATTAAATACAGTGGGTTGTGCTGGTGCACTATTATGAGTGGAGAAAATGTTTCTGCAAAGGGTAGGAAAGATACAGATGACGTCTTATTTGTGAATAACAATATCCATAGCTATAAGGTACAGTCGGGGATACTTGTTCATAAATGTAATTCAACAATATTTATAAATAAAAAGATAACGTTACACAAATTTATTGTGTGCATGATTAAATTAATTTAGGGTGAAGTTTACAAATGATTACTGTTTATAAGATATTATTTTATTAAGTCTCTCGACTATTAAAAGTTACAAAATGGTATTATGATTATAGCGTGTTATTTTGTTAAGTCACTTGACTATTAAATATTACAAAATGGTCACCTGACTATTCATTATGTTATAAACTAGTCATTTTCTGTTAAAAATGAATAATATTATGAGCTGAATGATAATTTTTTGATTGTGATATAATAAAACATAATCCCAGAATCTTAAATGACTATCATATCTTAGTCATCATATTAAGGTCTAACTTAAACAACCGTCATTTTTTAACAAAAAATTATGAGTTTGGAATATAATGAATAGTCGGGTTAGAGTTAACAAAATAACATTCTATAGTCGAAGGATCATTTTGTAATTTTCAATAATCGAGTGACTTAATAAAATAATATCCTATAGTAACTAGATAAGTTATGTACTTTACCCATTAATTTAGGACTAGAAATAATCACAATAATAGACAATGAAGGGAAGAAACGTATTTTTCAAAATTAATTTAAAACCTAATCACTATAATAAATAATTACTGTGATTCATCTACTTTAGTTTTGGTATGCTTTTTTATATTATAATTATACTATATTCTGTCTTTGTTTATTCAATAATATTAGATTTTCTTATTATTTTTTTTAAAAAAAGACCATACACTTGAGTGTAGGTACAAGTGATTGAGATTGAGTAATTTAAGCTTGTAAGGTCAAGTTTGAATCCTACTACTATCACTCTTGGTAGACAATCTGTAAATTTCTGTCACACTCTCAACATAAATATAAAAATTAATTTGGTCGAATTAGGGGCCTAAATTGCAAGTTTTCGAAACTTGCATGTCGTTTTAGGAAGATGTAGGAAGTTTAGAGACCAAACCCTAAATTTTCCCATTTTTTATCGATAATGAAAATAAAATGAAATCGGTGGCTGCAAGGTTCAAACCCATGTCCCTTGGGTAAACTACCTAGTGCCCTAGCCACTGTTGATGATATATATATATAATTTAGTTCAGCCAAAAAACCCAAAATTAATTCATATATTTTCCCCAAATTTCCCAAATCCCTATGGCTTCCTATCGCACTCCTGGTCGCCCCAAAATTCTCACTGTCCGGCCGCCACAGTTCGCGCCACCACGTCCATTAGGCTCACCATCGATCAGCGAACAAAACCCTCTAAATACCTCGTCCAAAATCGACGTCGTTCGCCATAAAACTCGCAGCGAAGCTTCAACGAAGTAAAACCCCTCCGCTTGGTTTTTCTTCGATTCACGTCGATCAAGCCAGCCGTTCGATTCACTGCTTTCACCGTTAAGTTCACTGGCGTTATGCAACCAAAACCCGATAGGGTTCGTCGTTCTTCCATAGATCACATGTTTGGGTAAGCTTGTCACTTTTTTCTAGTCGTTTGTGGTTGTTATTGGCTGATTTTGGATTGGTTTTTGGGTGTAATTGAAGTTAGGATTGTACTGAGAGTAATAGGCCGGTGAAAACGTACCCAGACATTGTCACCCGCCGACAGTACTCGTGGGGCTCCTCTGCCAGTTCAAGAGGTTTATAGAACCGATCCAATCAAACCGAACTGGTTCAGTCAAGTCGGTATAAACCGAGTCAACTCAGCTGAGTCAACTTATACCTAATCAAATCGTCTGAATCAACCCGTTAACTTTGACACAAAAGTCAATTTTTTTTTCGAAAAGTCATATTTTTTTATTTTTTGACGTTCTGAGTCCGAATTCGAAGTATGTTTTACCAAATTCAAACCCAAAATCCTCCGAATTAATTATTAAACCAGAGCATGCACATGTACTTAAGTGTTTTAATTGCGAATAATTAAAATAAGGTTAGAGACTGATCAAATATTGTTATTTAAATGTACACGAGACTCTCCTGATTGCTCGATAGCTTGACTCAGCTTCTTTCGATCAGTTCGACTTCGTGAGCCAATAATCACTCGTATGACCCGTGAACCCTATGAAGACCTAGATTAAAATTTTACTTTGATATTAACTTAGTTATTTATGAATTAGGTTCGAGCACTGCTACAGAGCATGGTGAAACAGGTGCTTAGTAGTTACCCTAACCGACCCCATTTTGCAAGGTGTATTCCTTATGTGCCTTATAATTGTTTACCTATTTTAAAATGTGATTTTCTGAAATTACTAATTTACTAGCTTACTGGATTAGTGTTTATGAACTATGATTGTTTGATATATTATCTAGTTACTGGTTTACGCTGGAAATATGATTTTGTTGATTACTATTCATGGACATTACTGCTTACTATGTGAACTATTTTATTGAAATATTATTTTGGGTAGGATACTTGAGTATAGAGGTTCAGCTCTGATCAAGCTGGTAATACCTTATGGACATAATGCGACCCTTGGGTAGGCTCCGAGGCCCCAAGA